TATTTGAGTTTACTTTGTGACAAAGCATAAAAAATGGCATGTTAAGGAACTTGGATTGATTTAGGAAGAAGAATTTGGAGTTGGAGAGATTTGTTCTGAGCATGGAATGCAGCACTGTCACATGCATCTAGAGGTGATGGAGAATGAATTGGCTGGGAAACAGCAAGAGATTGAAGAGCTAAACAGAGAGCTAGAAGAAATGAGGGCAGCATATGGTACAGAAGGATTGCAACAGGTATAATTACCTTACGTTGCTTTCTACTTGTTACTTGGTTACATGCAAAAATGCAGAGCGTCACCTGAAAGAGTTCACACTTAAGGGCAGCTGCTCAGAATGCAATGGCCTTGTGGTACAGAATTACACATTTCTTGCAGTCACCATACAATCTATTTCTTTGAATGACATTTCCATTGTGTGTCTTTTTCTCTGTATTTAATGACTAAAATTCCAGTCTTGTTCACAGCGACTTTCTTCAAATCAGGAATGGAAGGATGATTTTCTTCAGGAAAAGCCCTAATTCTTCTCTAGTTGTTAAAGACTGGATTTCTTTAATACCTTCCTGTTCCTCCAAGATCAAAAAATACTAAGTTTTACTTCCTAATGAATAACTGAATTGACCCTTGAACCAAAAAGGTATTTGTGTGTCAGACTTTAGTCTGAAATACAAGGCAACTGTTGAAACATGCTTTAATAAACATCTAATAATTTGCTATTACAAGGAAGTATTTCTTACTTCAGAAATACCACTGGAATTTTAAGTTAGGTTTTACAGTAAAGAATATTAAATACTTACTCTTCAGTTTAAACAAGTGGTGCAGTACACATAAGTCAGTGCATTGACATCCGTTATGTCTCTTTTAATTTGGATTCAGGCCACATAATTTTGTCTTTCTGTTTTTCACAAAGTATTATATACTTTCAGTCATTTTCACCTTCATTATTTTTACACAAGTATATTTTTTTTTTCTGCTTTCATTTGTATTTTATCTGTGAAAATGGCTGGCGTATTTTCCACTGTACTAGAGAGATCTTTCAGTGGTTGCCCTGGAGGATATGTTTTATCGTTCCTATGTCTGCTGGTGAATTTCTGGTGTTGCATTTTAAGTCAAACAGTCCTTCTAATTACTGTGTCTTTTATCTGCATCATAGTTATAATTATAGTGTAACAAAGAATAATTTTAATTTCTCACAGTTGTGACTGTTAGTTTCTCCTGAAAAAGGTGGAAGTAAAAATGTTTGAATTTTTTAAATGGCTATGATAACTATTTTTAAAATAAAACTATATGAAAGTGGGGTGTGGTACAATATTTTAGTAGCTGCAGCATATTTTTGTATGATAGTGGTACAGTGCATAATACCTTAGTTGAGAAATGCATATGGTTTATTTTTCAGAAGAAACAAATTGTAAAAGGAGACTGCAGAATATGTGTGCTTTAGTTCTGTCTGTTAAAGAAAGGCTGAATAAAAATACTTCAAAATTTTCATACAACTGTGTGGATTGGAACAGATAAATGTAGTTATTCAATTTCATTGAACAGAAGCAAAAGGAAAGATATGACATGCTTAAGTGTCTGATCTGTTCCTGATTTTCTCTGTTTTAGCAAACATCTAGCACTTCCACTAGATCCATGCTTTTAAAGTAGGAATTCACTGTAGTGTTCTGAAAAGAATCATAGTTTGGCTTGCTTAAGGGACTTCTGTTTTTTAGTTATGTCCCACTGTAGTCAGTGTCACTATCTTCTGGAAGCATTATGATTTTACTTCAAGTCTTAGCCTATAACCTGGAGAAGCTTCCTTTTGGGAGCACTGTAAACAAAACAGTTACAGAAGGTGACTGATGGTTTAAGAAATGTGTAATAGATAGAGATTAATTTTCTTCTAGCCTTGAATGAGTTTAAACTGACAATATTAAAGTGTATCACTTATCCATTTATGTAATTGCACATGAAAATAGTCCCAATTAATATTGTGGAATTTCTGGTTGCCTGAGTGTAATCCTACAAAAGCCACTTTCAAATATTCTTTTTCTGTACTTCTATAATTTCTTTATCATTATGAATTACAAAATATTAATCTATTAAAGGCATTGTATTAATTTTGCGGCTTGAGCTGATTTGCTCATGTAGTTATGAGTAATTTCTGTGGGTTCACAGTGTAATATACCACATGGTGTCTGTTGTATGTTTTTAGTATGATGAATGCGATTCATTGCACTTTCAGTGGGAGGTGATATAAACTTGCATTTATTTGGGGAAAGTAGTGTGGACATGAGTACTCTCACAAAATTGCCAAAGCACTATAAGTAGGTACTCTGGCTTCCTTTATGATGGTTTGTTTATATGGCCATGCTTTTTAGTTTAAAAGTAAGTTATATATTTAACCAGTTAACCTTAAAAGTTCAGGTTTTCTTCATTGATAAATACATTTTATGTAGAGGTCATATTTTGTTAAAAAAGGAAAAAAAGTCTGGTTCTGCAGTACTTACAAATAGTGTTTGAAAACACAAATGCTTCACTACAGCTGTTTGACATCTTGTAAATGGAGAGGTTAGGGATGATGTGTTCCTCCTTAATTAGGATAAGGTAGCATTTTTTTCTGTGGCTTTAATGTGCACTAATAGCTTATATTTTGTCTTCTGTAGCTGCAAGAATTTGAAGCTGCCATCAAAAAAAGAGATGACATTATAACTCAGCTCACTACTAACCTACAGCAGGCACGGAAAGAAAAGGACGAAACTATGAGGGAGTTCTTAGAGCTTACTGAACAAAGTCAAAAACTGCAAATTCAGTTTCAGCATGTAAGTTACAGTGCTGACAATATTTATTTGGGTTTGAAAATTAATGTCACTTTGAAGGGTCCGTAAATGGCTACTTCCTGCAGAAAGAGAATTTTTTGTACTTTTTTTAAGAATTGGTCTCTCAGTACAGGTCAGCAGTCACCTTACCAGGCCTACATTATAGTACCTGATTTATTGTGCTAGTTCACTATAAAATAATAATAAAGATTAGCCTATTTTCTTCCCTAGTATGTAGTGATAGCTTTGATAAATACTGGATGATGGCAGTTATTTTAGGGAAAAGCGCTTGTGTAATTGGTTCTCAGAGCTTTGGGCTGAAATCCAGCCAGTGCCCACTGGACTCAAAGCAGCCATCCATTAGCTTTGGTGGGCCACCATTTCATGGTCCAGTTCTTCCTGTATTTTGGGGTAAAAACTGCCTCTTTTACTGGAAGGTCATTTAAATAACAAAGTTAAATTTCAGAGAAGCATTTGTTCTAAAGGCACTGGTGATTGAGGTGCCACTGGTACTGTTAATCTGGACACTGCTAATCTGTATGTCTGTAGTTTCCCACAAATTCAATGCTACAGTTGAATATTGTAAATTTTGTACTGTTTAAGGACTTTGTATAGCTTTTTTTGAACCTCAGGTGGATTATATTTTGAAGCCTGAGTTTTTAATGTTAAAAATCTGATTCTGGGGACAGTAATTACAACTAGTTCATTTTACTACTTACCAGTGTTTCTGAGACACTGCTGTCCTGTGCTAGCTCACCATAGGACAATGTAATGTGAAATATTTTTAATTGATTTGCCTTCTCAAAAGAATAACTATATTTCAGTTCCACATAAAAGAACTTATAAAAACTTGTGATCATCTTTGGTCTTGTGCTGTGGAAGAAGAAAATAAAGAACGCTCTTTCTGTAAGATATTTGTGAAAATCTTGATATAGTTTGGGTTTTATTTTTTTAACATTCAAGTTGCAGGCAAGTGAAGCCCTGAGGAACACCAGTCATAGTTGCACAGCTGCTGATTTATTGCAAGCCAAGCAACAGATACTTTCACATCAGCAACAGTTAGAAGAACAAGAATGTCTCCTGAAAAATTATCAAAAAAAGAATGAAGAATTTGAAGTGCAGATTACACATCTTCAAGACAAAATCACAGCATATGAAATGGTGTGTACCGCTCTAGAAAGATCTCTTTTCCTAATCTCTCTTTTCTTTCCATGATTTTGTAGTTCCTTTGAAGTTTAAAGGCCAAAGCACATATTGAGTGTCCTGCACAGAATGCTTACAAAGATTTTAAGTTTTTAAGACTTTCTGTTAACTAACACATAATACACATATAATTTAAAGCTGAAATGTTTATGTCATTGGTTATGTATTGTGTTTTTTAAAATCACAGAAGTATTTACAATGAATGATGAAACTATGCCATGTAGTAGAATGTGTTTAGTAAATGTATTAAGTGCCATAATTTTGTTAGAAAAAAAATTTAAAATACTTGCTTGAACAATCTTTTTTGTCTTAGGGAAATAACTAATTGTTTTTCCATGTACATTTTTTTTTTTTATTCTTCATAGAAAACACCGTAAAAAGTACCTAAAAAATTAAATGTCATTAAAAGTGACAGGAGATAAAGCTTTCAGTAGATTGCATCAAATATTTTCTTTGAAGAATTGAGGCACAACTGGGAAAAAATCGAAGTATGAAAGTGATTTTTTTCCCCCCCCTATTATTTTCTTGATGGGGCAGGAGAAAGGGCAAGGATTGTCACTTACTCCAAAGGTGCAGAAAACTTCCAAATGAGGTCAACAAATAATTTATGTATAGTTTTTATAAATGTTTGCTAGCCTTCTGAAGAAAGTCAATGTGTTTAAAGAGCTAAGTCTCTATAAATGTTCCTGTATGTTCAGATAATGAGCTAAAAATAAGAACATGACTTTGTTAATTTTTTTAAAGGAAAAACAGAAAAATGAGGGGGAAGACCTGAGTAAACTGCAAGAAAAGGAAGCATTAGTTGAAGAGCTGGAAATGAAACTTGGAGAAGAAGAAAAAAATTCATTTCAGCTTAAGGAAAGATTATCAGATGTTAGCAAATTACTTGAAGAACTGAAGGAACAGATTTCACTGAAGAACCAGGAGATAAGTAATACAAAAGCTGAACTTACCATCTACAAACAGAAAGAAAGACAGTGTTCAGATGAAGTAAAACAATTAATGGGAACTGTGGAAGAATTGCAGAAACGATGTTATAAAGACAGCCAGGCTGAAGCTGACATTGTACAAAGAATGGAATTAGAGACACAAAGGAGACTGGCACAGCTTCAGGCTGAATTAGATGAAATGCATGGCGAGCAGATTGTGCAAATGAAGCAAGAGCTAATTAAACAACATGCAATGGAAATAGAACATCGGCTTTCACAACAAAAAGTAGAATTAGAGAAAACTTTAAGTCTGTGTTTGAATGAGAATGTTAATGAAGATCAAATGCATTCAATGAATATTGAAATTAATGAATTGAATGTGAAATTGCAAGATGCTGATAATGAAAAGGAAAAAATAAAGCAAGAACTGTCACAACAGATGGAAGCAATTTCAGCAGAGAAGTCTCTTCAACAGGCTAAAATTGAAGAACTTCTCCAAGAACTTAATTTTTCAAGAGACCAGGTTCAAAGAGCCAAACAAACTATAATGGAAATGGAATGTAGATTAAATGATGCTGAAAAATATCAGTTTATGGTTGAAGATTTAAAAACTCAGCTGGCTTCTGCCTCTGAATTTAGGAAAGAATTGGAGTTAAAACATGAGGCAGAAGTCACAAATTACAAAATAAAGCTTGAAATGCTAGAAAGGGAGAAGGATGCAGTTCTGGACAGGATGGCAGAATCTCAAGAAGCAGAATTAGAGAGGCTGAGAACAAAGCTTCTGTTTAGTCATGAAGAGGAACTTTCCAGACTTAAAGAAGACTTACAAAAAGAGAACATGGTGAACATGGAAAGCCTTAAAGATAACTTGAATATACACCATAAACAGCAGTTAGATGAGTTACAAAATGAAATGAGTCAAAAGATAGAAGCTATGCAATATGAAAAGGACAACTTAATTACAAAGCAAAAGCAGTTGATACTAGAGATTTCAAACCTGAAAGATTTACAGCAGTCCATTGTAAATTCTAAATCTGAAGAAATGACTCTTCAAATTCATGAGCTGAAGAAAGAGATTGAAGTGCTTAGGCAAGAGGAAAAAGAAAAAGGTACCCGTGAACAAGAAATTCAGGAGCTGCAGCTTAAAACTGAGTTGATGCAGGAGCAAATGAAGGAGCGAGAAGATAGCCTTCAAAAAAAATGTTTAGAACTTGAAACACAAAATGACCTTCTTAAGGGGGAAAACAAAACTCTGGAAGAGAAGTTAAAAAGTGTGTTGGTAAACTCTGAAGAAAATTATATTTTAAAGACGAGCATTAGCTCTAATTCAGAAATTTTGGACTTGCAAAAAAGAATAGAAGGGCTGATTACTGAAAATGAGCAACTGAAAAACCAAAACAGCCAACTCCAAGAGGACACTGAAAGGCAGAAGAGTGTCTTTTCATTTACTGAGAAAAAACTTGAAGCTAATTTTAAAGAGCTACAGAATGAATGTGCAAGTCTTCTGAAGGCAAAAACTGAGTTAGAAGAGAACAAGAATAAGCAGGAAGCTGAATATAAAAGCAAGCTAAAAGCTTTGAATGAAGAACTTCACCACTTACAAAGTAATAGACCAGTTTTATTTAAAACTAAAACTTCTGGTTTTGAAGGGAATAAAGAAAACAAGGTGTCAAGGGCAGAGAGATTTGAGGCTGGAGAAGTTGTTGAGAAAGACCTGACAGAACTTATGGAAAAGCTTGAGATAACCCAGCGTGAGAAACTGGAATTATCCCTGAGACTCTCCAATCTCTCCAAACAGTTGAAGTCAAAGCATAGTGAAATTTGTCATTTAAATGAAAAAGTGAAATACTTAAAACATGAGAAAGAAGAAGTTACAGCGAAGTGTAAAGAACTAGAAGTCATAATTAGCCATGCTCAGAGAGGAAATAGTACAGGTAATGAACCTAAGGCAAAATGTTCTAAAGGAAAAGCTCTAAAGACTGCTGCTCCAGCATCTGAAAGTAGAAATAAAAGCCTTGGTCCAAGGAATGAAGTTGATGAAGGAATAAATGTAAGAGGAAATGTTGGTTCATGTGAAGATACCAGTCATGAGGTAACAAAAAGAAAGGAAGTTCAGCAAATGTTGAAACCAGAAGAGAAGTCTCTTATAGAACATTTGCATGGGATGACAGACAGGCTGACAGATGAAACATCGTTAATAGCCATTACACAGAGTGAAGATAATCTTCAGCAGCAAGTGGATGCATTAAAATCAGAACAGGTATGTTACATAAAGCAGTGTAGAAGATACTTTACCTATGAAAATTTGTAGGAGTTGGCACTTGGAAATTTACTTCGTATTTTTCCTTTCAGTTGCTTTGAAGTGCAGGTGGGTGGTCATGTGGGTGGCAGGTTAGCCAGTGGTTGAAAGTGGTTACATGAATGACCAGAATGAGAACCATAAGCAATGTGTGTAAGTGTCCTAATTTTAAGTACAAGAGATACTCTTCCCTTACATTTAATTAAATCAACAATAACAAAAGATAAGTTGAAGACAGCTAGAGCACTTCACGTTTTGATACAGCATTTAACTTGAGGTGAAAATTTATTCAGGACACACCCCTTTATTCTGTGGTTAGCTTTTCAGTTCTCTAATTACTCATTCAAGCAATATAAGGAGATAACTCTTCTTCAGTCATCTTGTAACAAACTTTTAAAATTCTGAGCTTCCATTTTTTTCCAATCAAAATTTTTGTGTATGTGCAGTTATCACTTAAGAAATGTATCTGCACGTGAGCATGAGAAAAGAAATGTATGAAGATACAGAAGTTATACATGTCGTGTGATTATAACTAATCTCCATGCTTTTGCTTGAGAAATTTTGCTCCTGTTTTTTTTTTTTGCATTGTAAATTAATTGCATGTAGTATGGAAAGGATTATTAGTTGCCAATAAAAATGGCTAAGTATTGAATTACCAGTGTTTAATTAGGTGCTGGAATCATAAATCTAAGTTTCTGTACAGTGATGAATTGCATGCTATGAGAAGTGTGCAATAATGTTTTCTGTAGAAATAGATGTTAACTAGTCTTCTATTTTTTTTCTATTGGTTTCTTTTTTAGGTGTTCTAAAAATCCACTTAACAGTGGACTAACACCACCACTACGTAACTTTGCTGTATTGTAGTTCATTCATTTCCACAAAAAAGAAAATCACAAGCAAAGCCACATTGGTAACAGTTAAAAGATTATAGGGGGTTGGACTAGGTGACTTTTAAAGGTGCCTTCCAAACCACACTGTTCTATGATTCTCTAGAAAAGAGCTACAGCTGTATGAAGTTTTAGGTTGTTTTATTTTGTTTTTTAAATGAGGATGTTATAAGAAACTTGCAATTTCCTGCCATAGAACTAAGTGTCATTATGGCTCAGAGCTGTCTAAAAACCTTTTCAAACTTGGACTCTAAGTAGCTCAGTACTGGCATGTTGTAAACAGGTTCTTGCTTTAGCAATAACATGCCCAAAAGTGTAGACTAGAACTACAGGCCTTGGAAATCAATGTTTTTTAAGGTCTGCTATTTTACTGTATTTGGAGTGAACTTCCATAACTTGCTGTGTTGGTAGTGATAGTGGGGTAAAACACTTAATTGGGTAAAATTCATTGAGTTTTTATTGCTGCAAAATAGGACTAGAAGCATATTAAGTTACGTTTGGTTTAGTTCAGTTTTTATTTTAAGTTGAAGAAGTGTCATACTATTTTGTTACAGTTCGTTTTTCCAAACTGTGCATATTTAAATTTACCTAAGGTGTGCCATATATGCAGCATTCCATTCAACACGTTATTAATTTCAGAATTTGCGGAGACAAGACTTCCTTGTTTTCTTGCTTCTCACTCTTTGTAAAATGCCTGTTTCTGTTCAAAGACTGATTTACAGCTACAGATGGAAGCACAGCGCATTTGCCTGTCCCTGGTTTATTCAGCTCACGTAGACCAGGTTCGTGAGTACCTGAAAGCAGAAAAAGAGAGTGCACTTTGCAGTCTTAAAGAGGAGCTCGTACGTAGTCATATACAAGAGATGAATGATCTTAAAAAAATGCATCAGCTGGAGCTCCAGACCTTGAGAATTCAACAAGCAGGTAACAACCACAATTATGGGAGTGAAGCCCTTGATGTGAAAACCAGTGTCTTTGAAAGAAAACAAGCACAAGAATTTGTGTCTGTGGCTGTCCAACAAATTGTTTTTATAGAACATTTTGAAGTGTTTTTGTACTAAATTACTTACCCATTACAAGTAGTTATATTACTCAGGGTACATAAGAACCTAAAAAAATAGTAAAATTTAAAAAAGGATGAATAGGAAGTGTTACAACTCATGTTTTCTATTTGTGTTATGACATTTAATTATAAAAAACTATATGATAGATTATGATAGATTCACGTGTAAGGTTGTATTCCTTATGAAACAATAAGCCAATGCATCCACAAAATCATTTTGGGTTTGTTTCATTTTCTGTTCTTTGAGGTTTTGCATTGGCTCCCTGCCCATGTTAAGCTTCTTTGCTACTACTTTTTGTCTGGGTGAGCTTTTATGTTGCCATGCTGGTTTTCTATCCCTATTCTTTCTGTTATCATATGATTTGCCCATGTGTAGCTTTTTAGCGTAAGTTCCTTGCCCTCCACTATATTTCTGTAAAGTTTGATCTTTCTGGAGCAAAAGCCATTTCTTACCACTTATTGCTTTTCAGTGTGCAGTTTTACCATAATAATCGAATCTATCTGTATGATGGAAAATGAAAGGGGAATGAAAAACTATGCCTATGAGCTGAGTAGGCAACCTCACCGAGGCAGGAAGGTTAGGCCTTTGAAAAGTTGTTGTGCCATCTGATGTTTAAAAATAATACAAATCATTTGTATTATAGATGATGAAGTCAGATCTACACAAAGACTTATAGAAAAGCTGAACGAAGCTGTAACTGAGGAATGTTGTAGGCTTGCTCAGGTGAGACTTAAGAAAAAGCCTGTTTTTTAAAATGGAAATTTTGAAAAACAAAAATTACAGGTACAGTAAGTCATCTTTTTCTACCTAATTTTTAACAGGTTTTCTTTGCAGCTTTTCTCTTTGTGTGGATCTTAAAATAGAGACTGCTAAAGCTTATCTTCCAAAACAACATTGCAAGTATTTTGTTTACTAAATTGTTTTTATGTCCTTGTCCAGACAATTCTTCTGATTTACATCTAGTCTTGATCTTCTATCTAATGTTTGGCTTATATCTACTACTTATTTGGAAATACTTTTTCCTTTCTGTATGTCTCTTGCTGTAAGTTTTTGATTTAGCAGTGGTCTGATGTCATGTATGTATTAACACACAGGACGACACTCTCATATCTGCAGTAAGATAGTAACTTCTTCCTGAGCTGCAACATATATTTCAGAGGCTTAAAAGTGTCTTAAGAATCTACCAAAGTTGATGTCTATTTTGTTTCAGTAACTAAATATTATAGTAAAAAATTGAAGCTCTTTTTTAGTCTGTAGTCTAATATAAGCCACTAATAATGCTATTTTTGCCATATTTTTTTGGGTAGACTACTAGTAATTAGTGGCCCTTACAGGTACTTTTTGAGAAGCAAGTTACTTATTAAACTTATTACTGGGTAAATTAAGCTACTTTAATAACTCATTATAAGCCATCGTTTTCCAGTGTTAAATACTCAAATGGTTGATGGTGGTGGTTTGGATTTTTTACCTTCTTTGCTGGAATTTTTTCAACACTTTCTTGGGAAAATGGATCTCAGACTTTTACTTGAGAGCCAGCATAAGAGAGATTAAGCAGGATTCCATTGTAGTTCACAGAAGATAGGAGCTGAATTAGAGTTTTTGGCATTATTTTTTTCACAGTTGGGAATAATACTGCCAATCTGTATGATTCCATGCTAAGCTTTTGGAGAAATTCTGATTTTACTTTTGCAAACTGGATTTGGTGTCTGTTGAGTCCAAAATCTTTAAATAGAGTCTCACTGTATGCCCTGGGCAGACCAAGTTTCTTTTCACGTTTCATGTATTTTCAGTAATCATATGGATAAATCTTCTCTTTGCCTACTCATTGCAAATATGGCACCTATTCTGCTGGCCACATAGCACTAACAAACACAAAGAATTCTGTTTATGGCTTGCTTGAATGTTCTTCTGCCACCCCCTTTTATCCTATTTGTTCAATATGTAAGAACAAGATGAATCGTAATATCTAAAAAGACACAAATTTCTTCCACAGGGTATCCTCCTTTTGTGTAAAATGTCAGTTTGCTAGAATGAGACATCTGAATTTGCTTTTGGCATTAATAAAAAAATGCTTCTCTGTGTAAGATTTTGACACTTGGTAGTTCCAAATTAAGGAGCCATGCCAAAATATATATATTTATGTTTTAGCTGAAAAGTCTCTCCATACCTGTTTCTTTTGGAATTGTAAAGATTGTCAAGGTTCCTATGACTCAACAGAACATCTATGCCACCATTTCCAGAGAAGATAATACAAAATACTATTTTTCTGCTACCTTTTTTCTTGTTTTCTTAGTGAATTGTGATTGATAAATGAATAAACAATTCTTCACTTTTTTTCCTTTGTTTCATTTGTTGTGCAGGCTTTATGTGACAATCAGAATGAACATTATTCAGCTGCTGTAGAAACTGGTGATAGAGAATATGATATTTTCCATAGACCTGCTGCTGTGAAAGAAAAACTGAGCGTAGAAATACCAATACACAGAGGTCAAGCTCAAGGTAATGGCACTGGACTATCATGCTGGTTAAAACAAAATACTGATTTGAAGTTTTTCAGGCTGGTAATTATGCCATTAGTTGTTCAGGTATTAACCGCTGTGCCTAAATACCTGCTTTAGAGATTTCCTAACTATTCTGAACCACTTTTATTTTTTATTATGAGATTTTCTTGTGCTATTTTTGTTATAGTGGAAATGAGTGAAAAAAGTGTAGTGGGTTTTTTTCTCATCCTTTCGTAGAAGCTAGCATCTCTACCAAAAAACATCATACATGTCAGTACTATATAAAAATGCATCCAGAATTTGGAAGGGGCCTCACTTTCAACAATATGTAGTGTTTATCAGGTAATTCTTCAGTGGAGAACTTGTGAAACATTCACTGCATTAAAATTTATGGTAAAATGTTTGATTTTTTTTTAAAGTCCCTGGTTATCTGTGTAATGTAGCTGTGCAAGAACGTATGGATGCACTTCTACACAACATAATGGAAGAATACAGTAGACTGAAAGCACTTCAAACACAGCTGATGAAGGATTGTAAACAGGTAAGTTTTATAGGATATGAGTACGTGGCATTTTAATTTTCTCTGTTGCGTGAATTCCTTCTGGATAAGCGAGGATTGTGTTTGAAATTGTGTTATGTATCCTGACTGAGTGGCAGAGCAAGGCAATGATTTGATAAAATGGGGAAAGCTGCCACCCATGTCACAGAATCATGGAATGGCTGAGGTTAGGAGGTACCTCTAGAGTTTACCTAAGCCGACCCCTTGCACAAAGCAGAGTCTGCTAGAGGAAATTGCTCAGGACTGTATCCAGTGAAAATTTTACTGTCTCCAAGGATGGAGATTCTACAAGCCTAGTGCACAACCATATCTTCTTCAGGATACACATTCCCAGATCTCTCAGCCTCTCCTTATAAGACACATGCTTCAAGCCTGTCATCTCCCTTCTGACCCTCTGCCAGATTCATGCCATTACACTTGTTTCACTCTGATATTGGCAGTGCAGCACAGAAGTCAACACTCCGGATATGTCTCACCAGTGCTGAGTAGAGAGGAAGGATCACCTCCTGATGTCAAACACTCTTCCTAATGCAGCCCAAGAGGCTGTTGGACTTCTGTCATAATGGCACATTGCCAGTTCCTGTTCAACTGAGAGCCCAACAAGGCCCCCAGGTCCTTTTCTGCAAAGCTGCTTTCTAGCTGATTCTTCATATACTGATGCACAGAGCTAGTCCTCTGTAGGCTTCAGGACTTAGCATTTGCTGTTGTTGAACTTCATGAGGTTCCTCTCAGTAATAGGATGAGGAGCAACAGGCACAAACTGGAGCACAGGAAGTTCCACCTAAACTTCAGGAAGTATTTCGTTACTGTGAGGGTGACGGAGCACTGGAACAGGGTGCCCAGAGAGGTTGTGGAGTCTCCCTCCCTGGAGATTTTCAACATCCATCTGGACATGTTCCTGTGCCACCTGCCCTCGGCAAACATGCTTTGGCAGGAGAGTTGGACTAGATGGTTTCCAGAGGTCCCTTCCAACCCCTACCATTCTGTGGTTATGGGACTTGCCTGTAGTTTCTCTAATCTTCCTTCTTTCTCTTCTTGAAGGTAGGTGTGGTTTTATCTAGTCCTCAGTAACTTTCCTTGGTCACCGTGACCTTTGAAAGAAAAGTGAGAGTGGCCCCGCAATAACATAAGACCAGAACTCTCAGGGCCTGTTGGAGTATCCCATCAGGCACCACCAAATTGTTCATGTCCAGTTTGTTCCCTACCCTGATCATCCTCCACCAAGGTTGTCTTCCTTGCTTCAAACTTTTACACTGATTTCAGGGGACTGGGATTCCTGAAGACAAATGTTACCAATAGTTTTAGTACTTCCATGTATTAAATGGAGTACACTAATCAATTATATCAAGAGATGGTTGCAGGTCACATATATTGATGAATATACATGTACTAAAAAATACTTGTAATGTGAAACCTTTATCTTGGACCTCACAAGGACATGAGTGCATCTGCTTCTTGGAGAGGAAGTATGACTTAACCATTTATATCCAGAGAGAAGTTTAAAATTTACAGGTTGCTCAGCTAGCTATTATGAATACTTGGTCATTCAGGCTGTAAAATGAAACACATTGTTACAATGGTTACACTGTCTTATATATTGGCCACCAGCCTTTCTTACACATTTATGATTACAGTTAACATTTTTGCATTATTGCTATACAAATTGTTGTAACTTGTATTATTTTTCAGATCAAAGAACCATGGCTGTCTTCAGAAAGGAGGAAAGAAGAGGAACCTAGCCATTTGGAAGCAACAAAAGAATGTCTGCAGACCCCTTCACAGGGTCTAATGGGTAAAGAGATGCATATGCTTTTTTTAATGTATGTATATTCAGAGACAGAGAGAAGACAATGACTAAGTTTTAACTGATTCATCGCTTACTACAACCTGAAGCACATAAAGAGATTTTTGCAGATTTTGCAGCATGATACTCTGATTTTCTTAAATCTCTAAATTATTTCAGAAGTGTGTTGTGATACAGCTCTCATTTAGTCTTTTCCAGTTTTCTACAGTTAAAGCTCTGTTACCCATAGTAAGTACAGTTTTGCAAAATGCAAGATTAAGCTATAACTATTTCTTATGGGAAAGAAATGTATGTGATATCAGAAGAAATTGTTAACTACAGTAATTGTGCAGTCCATCACTGATGATAACTCAGGAGAGAGTTAATTTATACTGATGTAATTTATTCTTATCCCCTCTGCAAATAACATATATACAGATCCAAAGATTCAAGAATACTGTTCAAAGGAAATAGGGAACCTTAAAACACAACTTGAAGAAAAGCATGCTCAAGAACTGGAACACCTCCGGTCCTATTTCGAACAGCAGCTGAAAGAAAATGAAGAGAGGTACACCATAGAGATTGTCCATCTGCAGGATAAGCTTCAGTGTGTTGGAGTATCCTCTGACCACACAAGGTATTAATAGGCTCTTTAATGGTCATAACTTTTGCATTGTGTACAAAAAGAAGTGTCTCTGATAACCATTCTTGTGAAGCTACATTTTACTTTGACACATTACTCTTGTTCCTTCCAGAGTTGTTGAGTGTTACAAAGAAATAACATATGTTGCAAACTAAGTAGTGGAGTGTTTAGAATTTATTACATTTTTATAGTTAACGGAGGAAGATTTGATAATCGGAATAGTGTATAAATGTCACTTAATATATACGAACTCCATGCAGGGTCTTTAGATGAAAACCATATTGGCTGGAGTTTGAAGGTTAAAAGTGGTCTGTTGAGTTGGAGTTTTGCTGAACAGCTCATATATGTTTATAAAGAATTTCTCAAATTTCGAAGTAAAATGTAGATTCACTGAGATCTGTCTCATTAAGTCTCAAGCCTGAACATGTCTTTTAATGGTATAGTTTGTAACCTGTTGAATGATCTGTTACATACTCGGTCTCCATACCTGGTTTGTTGCAGCATCTTTTAAACAAAGATATAAATAGGATTATTGCTGTGGCCAAGCCAAGGAATTTTTTGGACATTTTCATCTGGTTGTGTATTCTATGGCAACAACTGAACAGGAGGCAGCAGGGGGAATATATCTGTTGCTACTGTTCATTAATCAAATTAAACACGAATGCTAAAAATAATGGCTTACTTTGTGTAGTTAAAAACATCACAAATTTTATGAAATTAACATTCTGGACTCCATGATTATCTAAACCAGCTCTCAGATTTGAGCAAAAGAAAACCTTCATATGTCTCTGTAAAGCCCTAGTAGTTAAGGTTGTAAATCTCACAAGACAACGAACTTACTTTCTAAGTTAATCTGTGTTCTACCCTTTCTTTTAGCAAGGTTTTCATTTCTTTGTGGTAGCAGATCGCAAATACTAGAGGAGATACAAACATGTTTGTTTTGTCATGTTTTGTTGTGTTGTGCTTTGTTTTGTTCTGTTTTCCAGGTAGTTTGATACTGTATCTTGCCCTTCTGACAGAGTATTTCTGTAAAGTTTTTTTCAATATGTAGTGAAAGGGGCGATGGAGTTTTGGTGATGTTTGGTGTTAATTTGGCTTTTACTGATTTATAGCAGTCTGAACGTATAGAGCAGTTCTGTTGGAAAAGAATCTCTGAATATATTTCAGCATGTTGTTATCTAAATATAAAATGAATCGTACTTGATTTTTTAGTATTTTCATATATGTGCATTGTCTATATAACACAGAAAGCACTGCAGCTGTTGATAAACATCTGTTAAACGAATCAAAATAAATATAGCCATTTTCTAGTTTCTCTCATATCCTTCTGATTCAAACAGATACTTTTGTCTTCATCTTGTATATAGTTATTCAGAACAAAATGTTCTTAGGTAGCTTTAAAAGTAAGTTGTTTCTGAGGCCCTTGGCAAAACTGGTGTTAACGTGTGTTACGTTGAGAGAAAATGCTAGTGTTTAGAAGGGAGATGAATCTTAAAGTCAAGTGTGTGAAATTAATGGCACGGCAAAAGCTGTGTTCTCAGGAAAATATCTACAGTTTTTTGTCTTTGAATATATATATTAACACATTATATATGTGTTTATATATACATATATACAGTATATATACATTTATATATGTATGCATATATATGCATATAGTATATATACATTATATATATATATGAGGAGAAATAATGTATATTAAAATACTGATTTTAATTTTTTTTTATTTCCTCCCTCTGCTTCTTTTACCTTTGTAGCGTATCCACAGACTCAGAGATACAGCTAAAAGGAGTCTTCAGGAAGGTGAAGTGCTCTGAAAATCTTCATCACCAACGGATGGATAACGTGCTGGAGGTATCATGTAACTCAGCTGACAGCTAATATATATATCGTCAATATAATTTAGATGCTGTGGGTTCTAAGATGAAATTGAAATATGGATTAATATTTGGTAGTATTAAAGTCATTGTCATCTTAGTACTATTAGTCCATGTTAGATGAAAAAGTTAAATTTTGCTGAAAAACATTTCTGGAAATTATGAGCAGTAAAACTTGTTTTATTTGTTTTGGGTTTATTTTTTAGGTTTTAGTTTTTTTTCTCTGAAACATGACATTTGGGTTGGGCTGTTCCTTGCTAAAGTGGAAGAAAATTACTGTTCAAATAATGGGATTTCTTCAGGAGTCTTTAAAATATTGTAACTTTTCTTTACACTCTGGTTATGAAGGAAGAGCAATATAAGTGAAAACCTAGTACTTTTGAAGTATGGATGGCTACATACTATTTAGGAGAGACAGACCAACAAGGCAAGGTTGTGGTGTTGCTCTTTATGTGCAAGAGCAGCTGGAATGTATTGAGTTTTATCCAGGGGGGAGGTGGAACAGGCTGAAAGCCTGTAAGTAAGAATTGCGGGACATGCACAGGGGGGATGACACTGTTGTGGGAGTCTACTATAGACCACCGAACCAAGAAGAAGATGTTGATGAGGCCTTCTACAGACAGCTGGAGGTAGCCTGTAGAACACAATCCCTGATACTCATGGGTGACTTCAGTCACCCTGATATTTGTTGGGAAGCCCACGCAGCTAGGCAAGTTCAGTCAAAAAGGCTCTTGCAGTGCATCAGTGATAACTTCTTTATGCAGGTAGGGGAGTAACCAATGAGAAGAGGCTCACTGCTGGACCTTATATTAACGAATAAAGGAGGACTGGTTGGGGACATTAAGGTTGGGAACAGCCTTGGTGACAGTGACCACAACATGGTGGAGTTTAGTATTTTACAAGATAGAAGCAGGGCAGTAAGTAGGACTACAACCTTGGACTTCCACAGGGCTAACTTTGCACTCATCAAAGATCTACTTGCAGGAATCCCTGACTCTGGAGGGTCAAGGGGCCCAAGAAAGCTGGTCAATTTTTAAATACAACTTCCTCCAAGCCCAAGACAGATGCATTCCCTTGAATAAAAAAAAGGGGTAGATGAGCTAAGAGACCTGTATGGGTGAGCAGGGAGCTTCTGAAGGAAATCCATGGAAAAAAGAAGTGTATCACTCATGTAAGAAGGGACTTGTCACTTGGGAGAAATATAGGGAACCTGTCAGGACATGTAGGAAGGCAATTAAGAAAGGCCAAAACCATCTTAGAACTAAAACTAGCAAAGGAAGTAAAAGAGGACAAAAAGGGCTTCTTCAAATCTATTAGTAGTAAAAGGAGCACTGGGGGAAGTGTGGCCCCACTGCTGAATGAGTCACAGCCCTGATCACTGAGGCTGCAGAGAAGGCAGAGCTACTGAATGCTGCCTTTGCTTTGGTCTTTAATCCTGAGACCAGCCCTTAGGAACTCTAGACCCTAGATGTAGGAAAGAAAGCCTGGAGGAGGGAGGACTCCCTGCTAGCCAGTGGAGACTGGGTTAGTGATCAGCTAAGGAAATTGAATATCCATAAATCCATGGGCCCTGGTGAGATACACCCAAGAGTCTTGAGAGAACTGGCTGATGTTGTCACTCTACCACTCTGCATCATGTTTGCTAGATTGTGGCAAACAGGAGAGGTGGCTGAGGGCTGGAGGAAAGCCAGTGTCACTCCAGTCTTAAAAAGGGCAAGAAGGAAGATGTGGGAAACTACAGACCAGTC